ACCCATATGGGTCAACCCCATTTTCCTTTCTTCCTTTTGGAAGACATTAATAAAGAATAGTGACACTTCACTTTCTTACATGTACAGCCATTGGCTTCTCACAGCAGTCCTGGAAGCTAGGCCAGGTTGGGATCACTGCCTCCATCACAGATCAAGATGAGGAAACAGAAAGCCAGAGAATTTAGGGTTACTTGATAAAATTGGCAGGTGTAGGCCTGAGCTTCAGATCTCCCAATTCCTCTTCCATTGTGTATGTGTGCACATGCTTTCAAGCTACATAACAGAAGAAGGCTGCAATGTAGATCAGATTTTGAGGAGATCTTTGACACTATTGAGGATGGGAAAATTAAAAACCTACATAACAGTAGGCAAGATATATACAGGTATGCCTGCAAAGTAGCATGTAGCATTTCCACAAATATGTGGCACTGGTCAGAACCTCATTACAGGAGGAAGTTAGTTGCATAGGAACAGGGTTGTATGATGGAGTTTGGGTCTGATATGTTAAACCTGTTACTGGGAGCTGGAGCATTGCAGAAAGGCATTAAACACTCCCCAGTGCTGTCAGAACCAGGTTAAAATGTAATTGGGAAATATTTAACAAAAATAAATAAAAACATAGATGGTGTCACTATGTGGTTTTCTAAGTCAGTATGTACCTACCCTCAGGGATAGCCAGGGAGTTTGACACCACTACATAAGGCATACCAATAGAAGGAAATCTGTGAAGTGTGGAAAATGAGTTGATTGCCTTTCCCATGATGAATTACCCAGACTTGGCAGTCAAAGCTATCTGATCTTATTCATCTTATGTACTTCTGCCTTTCAGGAAGATGAGGCACAGCAAAAGTGTGAGCAGAATCTATACAGAAGAGGGCTGCTTATTGCTTGTGGGGGGAGGGCAAAGCTCCAAGCTCAGGTTAAGGCCTAGATGAAATTGCCAGTGAGCAGTTTTCAAAAGAGTATTCCTTTTACTTACCTTTTCCCCTTCCTTTGTATGCTAGGTGATTTCAAAATGGCCCTGGATTCCCCCACTGCAACATCCCTTCCTTGATCTTGTACCTTCCCAAGTCAGTGACCTATACCTTAAACCTCTCTCACTTCTTCCCCACTCTGTTAAGAGAAACCTGTCCTATATCCCATTTCCTCTAGTTCCTACTGTCTGAGAATATTGTAGTGGTTGTGCATTAATTCATTAATAGCAGGCTATACAGTCTACTTTTCAGGAGGGAAATCTGCTTTTTTGCTTTTAGACAATTTTGTATTTTAACTAACCACTTTAATGTCCTAAGATTATAGATTCAAAGCTGGAAGAGCTCTTAGAAACCATCAAACCCAACCTCCTTATTTTACACATGGTGAAACTGAGGCGCATAGAAATTAAGTGACTTGCCCAGAGTCAAACAGCAATAAACTTATGAGGAGAGATTTGCACCCTGGTATTCAAGTCTGATGCTCTTTCTATTACTTTTTGTTGCCTTTGGATGTAACAGATAAGCAGCCTGTCTAATTAGTCCATCAATATGTATTTCTTTGGGCAGCTAGGTGGTGAAGTAAATAGAGCACTGAACTTGGAATCACGAAGACTCATCATCATGAGTTCAAATCGGGCCTCAGACACTTACTAGCTATGTGACCCTGGGCAAGTCACTTAACCCTGTTTGCTTCAATTTCCTCATCTGTAAAATGCGAAGGGGAAGGAAATGGCAAACCACTCCAGTATCTTTGCCAAGAAAACCCTAAATGAGACAGACTCGACTGAAATGACTGAACAACAAAAATGTAATTCTTGGACAAGCATGATAAAAACATAAGCTGGGCCTAAAAATGACCAGGAAGAAATTGCATTAGGTTATTTGTTTCAAAATTACAAAGTCCTTACAGTGACCCCCAAACTGCCTCTGCAGAAGCCCATCTCACTCATCTTGAGGAAATCGAAGGTGCCCACTGAATAGCCTACTAAGCATTCTCGTTGCAAAATAAATGCTGGATAATTAGTCATTGCATCCCTCAGGGCATAGCCAGTAAAAGAAGAGACTATATTGGGTATGTGGAAAGCAACAGACTTAAGAGATATTGGGGTTCATTTCCTGGCTGTGTCACTGCTGGTTGCAGGGACAATGTGAGGCAAATTGTTTTACCTCTTTGGACTTCTTCCTTGATAACACCTTGCTATCACCTCCCTACTCTTTGACTCATCTCTCTTAATTTATACTTTTCTCTATGCCATTGACTGTTCCATGGGTACCTGTCTTTAGTAGACTTTGAGGATTGATCTAGATCTAATTCTATCCAGCATTTACTCTGCCTTGTTGTTGTTAATAGTTTGGGGTTTTTTTTAAGGGACTAATTAACACAAATCTTTTCTAGAATTGCAGATCATGTTCAGAGAGCTTGTAACTTGGGATGTGACCATCCAGAGGGGCCATGAGAAAATTCCAGTTCACTCCCTTTGATATTATTTGCCCAAGGCCTATTTGAAATGAAGGTTAGAATTTCCCTCAGAGTGCCAAATGCAGGACTTTCTCCTCTATGTCCTCCTCCTACCTACTCAACTGGCAACCACAAACATGAAACCAAGGCCAGGACTTATGCACCATAGTGTGGAAAGACTACAAAGCTCCTTGAGGGCAGGGACTGTTTCATTTCTGACGTATCTATCACTAGGAACTAACACAGATCCTTACATATGTTCAAGACACTTGATGCATATTTCTTGGAAATTAAATTCAGAGAGGCAGGACTCTAAAGATCCTGCAGAAGGGATAAGGGTATACACAGGTGCATGTGTAAGGAGGTTGCAAAAGATGAGGAGAAGGTAGATAAACGAATAGCCAAGGGATTTTCCTTTGCCCTCAGCTCTTAAGAAAAACCGCAGGATCAGCCTTTTGGGAAAGGTTATCAACAAAGGCAATGTATTTGCTTAGCTGGTCAGGGACCACCTGTCACCTTGTGTCAGGCAACCACCTCTGACACACTAGTGCCCCTCAGCTCATTTAGTCTTGGAGGTCCATTTTCATGTTTTCAGCATCAGAAGCTAAAATATAAGCTAAACACCCTCACCATCTAAAAGGTCCTTGGTCACCTTTAGTGGGACTTCACACAGGCACGAGGAATAGCCGTCTTAGGAAGTGACCTATGCTGGTATCCCTCTCCAGGGAGTGGCTCTGAGGAGGAGGCAGCCATCTATTAACCACAGTGAGTCTTTTCCCCCCTCCCTGCAGTCCTCCCACCATCACCACCCACTCTGGGCTGAACCAGTCATCTGCTCATGTCACAAGGATTGTGGCCCAAGAACTATTGCTTCACTCTGTTTTGCAGAGACTAATCTGAATTTGATGACTAGAGGTGGGAGGAAGGATGAGCAGGGAATGAGCCGCTGCCCCCGGAACTACTGAGAATAAATAGTTTGAGTAGAGCTGATGCCTTTAAGATCCTAAACTCAAAAAAAAAAAAACCAGGGCAAAATTGAGAACGTATTCACACACTGGAGAGCTGATGGGAGTGGAGGGGATAGATGGAAAGGGGAACTAATAGTCTGAGACAGTGGTCTGCAGTGTTTTTAGACCCTACAAGACCCCTTTCATAATTTCTCTGGATTTCATAAAAAATCAAATCATAGGAAGCATCCTTGTACAGTGGAAAGAGTACTGACCGAAGACCTGGAGGCAAATGCTACCTTTGATACTAGCCAAGGGAGACCTTGAGGAAGTCCTCACTCTCCTTATCTGTAACTTGAAGGTACTGGACTAGGTAGCCTCCAAGGACCCTTCTTCCTTGGTTCTAACCTATAAAATTGAAAAACCTGAAATATAGATTATAACCATGCCTAGTGACTCCTTTTGAAACCTAGAGTTTTCCTAAATACCATTCAGACAGGTCAACCCACATAATTATGGTCCACCCATATAATTTAAAATGCCTTAGCCTCCTCTGGTTCTCTGATAACTCTTAGGTTACCACATGGAGAATCTGTAGGTAGAAAATACATCAAAATTGGTGTGTGTATGGGTGTAGGGAGAGGGTATATCTGGAAATAGTAATGTAGTGTTTATATTGTTTTTCTAGTCCAGGAGTCCTAGGATAATTTAAAAGTGCAGCTTCTCTTCTAAGGCATTTCTCACAATTCCCTAAGGGAAACCACATAGAACTAGTGTTAAAATTCAGACCTTTATATGTATCCTGTGCCCCAGTTGCGAACACTGCAAGGAAACCAATGACATGTGAACAAAGCTGTTGATAATTCCATTCCACAGCTGACTGCAGAGTACTTAGTGCCTTCTTGTTTTCCCACTACATTTCTCTCCAAAGATGTTTCTCACTTAACTTGACAGTTTCCAAGTTCTGAGCAATATTTAGGGCTTGCAAACAATCTACTTTCAAAAAATGACCTTCAAAATAACTCCACCGTGGGTTCAGTTTAAAGTAGGAGGCGCTTTTAAATATTTTCATTCATAATATTTTTTTGTTTTAGATTAGCCATGACGTTCTGCATTCGAGCTTTGCTAATTATATCTGCATTCAGACAGCAGACCTATTTCGCATATGTACCACATTAGAGAATTCACTGTTAGTCGTTTTTCAGCTTCAGCATGTGGGATCTGATGTTTCACAGTTGAAAGAGCCAACAAGGACCTCTGAGTCCAGAGAACCTTACTAGTAGCCAGGGGGTGGAGTTATGTCGTGGCCTGACCCCACGTTGTCATAAATAAATAAATAAATAGAGCTAGCTGCCTTAGTTCATCTGAGAAAGAAAAAAAAATTGCCAAAATTCTTACCCAAGTCCATGAGCACTACCGAGGAGGTGGTAGTGGAGGAGGATGCTGTGAATTAAATGCCCAAGGATGGGGGCAAGCGCAACAGCTTTGTCCAAGTCTATACGCATTAAGCGTAAGAAAACTTGGGGCGGGGGCGTCGGTAAATGGAAGGTGAGTTTTGAAAGCCGGCACTGCGCACTTGGGCGCTGACGGGCAGCAATATGAGAAACAGCCCGGACTTACCTAATAATTAACTTGCTATCGAGTCCTTCACTCCCATCCAACATGTGTGTTGAAATGTTGCAGAACGCGTGCGCCGCACAGGGCTGACCTTAGTATTTCAGCACGCTCGGTCCGGCAGCTCCAGGAACCTCCCAGGGGGGACTGACATGCTATCCAGTGTGTGCATTCTTGGCCGAAGGAGCTCCCATGTTGTGTTCCGTCTCCTTCCTTCTCCCCTTCTTCCTCCTTCTCTTAGCATTCTCCTGATAGAAAATGCATTCCTGTTTGGCCCCAGGAAGAGGGAAGAGGGAGGGATGCACTTGTCGGGTGGGTGCTTTCCCTGCACCGGATTCCAGCTTCTGAGACCACCCCTTCCTCCTCTCTCCCTGCCGCCACCGCCGCCAGCTCTTCGGAAAACGAGCCCCGGGTCCCGAGGAAGGAGAAACCCAACGTTCCCTCTGCCCCTGCTCACAGGAATCTCCCCGCCTGCCTGCAGAGTGAAAAGTTGTTCTGTCCAGTGGATCGTCAAAGTTTAACTTTGAGGGGAGGGAGAAAATGGCAAGCACATTCAACGCCTGTTGTGGAGATCTCCTCTCTCCCCCAGTGGGCCCCGAGCCTAGTGTTTTTATTGATTCCAATCACTGGGGGCTAGCTTGCTCTCAGAAGAAACACTGTGTAATGTGTTCTTTCCTGGCTTTCATTAAAGAAACTCAATGCACTCTGGTCGTGCTGCTGAGCTTGCCTGGCAACCTGCCGACTCTCTGTGGTCCTTTCCCTGGAAGAGCCCCAGCTCGTTGCTTGCTCTTTCTACCCACCCCCCCTTTTTTTTCTTTCCTTTGCTCCAGGAAGGATTTCAAAACATCTTACTCCCTGCCTTACCTCTCTCTCTCTCTCTCTCTCTCCCTCTCTCTCTCTCTCTCTCTCTCTCTCTCTCTCTCTCTCTCTCTCTCTCTCTCTCTCTCTCTCTCTCTCTCTCTCTCTCTCTCTCTCTCTCTCTCTCTCTCTCTCTCTCTCTCTCTCTCTCTCTCTCTCTCTCTCTCTCTCTCTCCCCCCCCTCTCTCCCCCTCTCTCCTAAAGGTTATAAACAAGGAACATTCAGTCTGTGGGCTTTTTTTTTTCTTAATGAGATCTTTAAGAAGTTTGTGGAAATTAGGTGTCCCCCTATGCTTTCTGAAGAATTCAGCAATAACTGTTTTTATTTTTTTATGTACTCTGTCTAGAGACCTGATCAATCCCACCTCCCTACCCCCTTCCAATGAAGTATGTGCTTTGCACATAGTAAGCACCTGGTAAATGTTTGCTTGGATTGAATTGTGTCTGAATTGAAACTGGCTTTTCATTCCTAGAGCCTTAAAAAAAGGAATTAGGTTAGTTACAAACACAACTCCCATCCAGAAATGCTAAGGATTGTTACATGTGTGTGCTGTGGCCATAAAAGCAGACATTGCATGCACACGTCAAAGCCTTGCCTTAATCCAAAGGCTGATTGTTTAGCGACACGAGCCAATATAGAGCCCTAGATACCAGGGAAGTGTAAATATCTATAGATTCTACTTTCCTGACTTTTCCTCATGGCCCCCCCCCCAGCCAAGTAACCAAGTCCCACTATAATAGGGTGCCATTATTTTATCCACATGTTTGTATTCATAGTAAAAATCACTAAAGAAAGAATTAGGAAGACATTAAGGAGTGAAATCCCATTCGAGTGTCTGAAATACTAATAGTTACATTAGGTTCCCTTTGAAAGCAATTATTCACTGGAAGGAAGAGAAATATTCTACAAATTTCTCCTCATGTTTCTATTCCTTGATGTGTACTAGAGTTACAAGCTCATTCTTTAGTCATCCTCATGACTACTTATTAGAAACTAGTAGTGGTTCCCCTCCCCCTTTTTTCCCCTTTTTAAGAAAATGGTTTCTCTTATCTGGCATAATTAGTAAAAGTTCTTAACATTATTATGTGTCTGAGAAAAATCAGGAAAACCTTCCATGTAGAGATGTTAGACACCAAGCGCACCCAAGTTTAAATTCAGGATTCCTTTGGCATGTGGAAATTTTGTATTTGTGTATATGAACATCTCTGGGTGTCCAGATGCATTCTGCCCCGCCTCCCCCCATAGACAATGGTTGAAAGGACCCTTTCCTGGATCTGAAAGATACAAAGGCTTGTTCTCATTTAAATCTGGCTTCCTGCAGAACTCGTTTGAGGTTTTTCTGCCTGAGTTGAGTCTATAGAAACCTTTCCAAATCAAGTTAATGTAATTTCTTTTCAATGTCTCTTGCCAGCAGTTGTAGTAGTAGTACAAGTTAGTTTTTATTAAACAGATTTTTCTAAAGCAATATAAGTTTATTTTTCTGCACAAAGTATTATCTTAAAACATGTTTAGCCAACGAATTGAAATATTTTCAGTGTCCCCAGTGCTGGAAGGGTGGTCTTTTGGGGAGAAGGGAATGCACGAGCTTACATTTTCAAAATACTCAGTGAATGATAGGCAATATTTTTATTGGCCTAAAAGCCAATAAAGATTGAATTGTTTTCTTGCACTTTGAAGTACAATCTTAAAGATTTTTCTAACTGCAGAACAGCTTATATTGCTGGGAAAATGTTTACTTTGATTTTTAAGTTCACTTGGTATAACAGTGAAATTTAAGACTTTCTTTTTACTTGTATTGACTGTGTTTATAGATGCTAAGCTTTAGAAATGCAGAGAAACAAGAACCATAAATTCATCATAAGGGCAAACCTCAGTAGTGATAACTTTCATATAAGTCCAACATAATCCGTGTGTTGGAAGGTACTGCTCTGCCTCTGCCCATGGGAAGTACTTAATAAATGTTTGTTGTTGTTATTGATGGTGGTGATAGTCTTGCTCAGAGTATTTTCTCTCCAACATGACCCACCACTGCCATTGTACGTTTTCTTTTCCTAATTGATTGGAAAAGGGCCCAGACCCTAGAGGATTTGATGGGTTTGAAATTACATAGACTCACGGGGCTGTTTATAAAGGGACCCTCCCTATTTAATCATTTAGTCTATCCCCCTGCCTCCAGGAAGAACTATCAAAAGTTCCCACTTTAGACAGATTATTTTCTCTTTGTTAAGCTTAAAAAAATTCTCCAGAGAGGGGGTGCTGTTTGCTTTTCAGGCAGTTCTTCCTGGTATCTAACCCAAGAGTCCGTTCTGCTGTAATGTGAATCCATTCCTTTGTTTTATCCTCAGTGCAAAAGGAGAAAAGTTCCTCAAATAGGGGAGAGAGACTGGAGAGAGGAGGAGGGAGGGAGAGGAGAGAAGGGGAGGGCAGGAGAGAAGGGGAGAGGTAGAAAGAAAAAAAAGGAGAGAGCAATAGAGAAGGGAGAGTGAAGGAGGGGAGAGAGGAAGAAGAGAAAGCAGGAAGGAGGATAGTGGGGGAGAGGGAAAGGAGGACAGAATTATTTTTTCCTGTTGTTAATCCAGCCTGTAAATGAATCCAAATCCTGTTTAGTGGTATGGTCACTTTAACTAAAGTTCCTATCATTGCCTTTTCCTGGCATTTCTTTCCCTTCTACATCTCTTCTCTCCCATGATGCCTTCTGTGTACTGGGGTTATGGTCCAACACGACAGGTAACTAGCCACTGCCTTATACCCATTAGTGATGCTTTGACTTAGGAGTTGTCTAGACATATCATGTGAAAAACTATGAACTGTTGTTGGTATTTTTTTCTTGCTGTTTTAAATCGTGCTCTGGATAGGTTAGCTCCCCAAATTTAAGGGAAAGCAGCTTAGGTTCCTCATAGGTTTTTATTCCACTCCTACACTTCTTTCAAGAATTCTGTGTTCAGTAAAATATTTAAAAGTTTTTATGCAACCTTAAACTTAAAGAACTTTGGAGATAGACATGATAGTGACGCACATGTCAAAACTGTTATTTGCTAATTAAAACCTCATTCTTTGTGGGAATATAGAGCCTGGATCAGCCACAAATGGAGAATGTTCTCAACAAGGTGGAAAATTGGACTGACTGATATATCCCCAACAAAGATGGTTAAGTTGAAGCTGCATATCTGTATTGTTTTAAAGCACATTCATTATGCTTTCATATGGCACTATAGCTTGCATCCGTCATGTGTTCAGCCAAATTTATTCACTGTTAAGGATACATACAGACTTTATAAACACGTTGTAGTTAGCCTAATCCTACAATCTTGTCTCCTTAGTCAGACTATGACATTTCCCTCCCCCCATCCCACCCTTGACATTGGGTGGTCGCTTTAACATACCTCTCTCCTTCCTTCCCATCCTTCCTGACTTTGGCCTTTCTCCCTGCAGTCTCTCCCCATGGGTTCTGATGCTGAGTGGGACTGTGAAACTAATTGGACTCCTGGAACACAAAGAGGCTTAGTGTTGCCGGTGGACCAGCTCACTGAACTAATCCTTCAGTGTTGGATTCCACCAGTCCCCCTATAGAAGTGTTTTAATGTTCCTCAGAGTGGCTGAGGTTCCCTTGGCTTGCTTTCCTGCTGTGTGTGTGTGGGGGGGGGGTTGGGGGAAGTAGGGAAGAAATTAATGAAAACAATAACAAAAGCCACACCCAACCCAAAACAGAAATGCTGGGCCACTTTGAACCCCAGGGAAGTGTAACATGAGAATTGGAATGGGATTGGCAAGGGGAATTGGTAACATCCTGAAGCAATATGATATGTTGATGAGAAAGTGCAGAGGCAACCACAGCCTTGGGGTGATTAGAACTCCAGAGCCTCAAGATGGAGCAGCCATTTGCCATCCGTTCACCTAGATGTTACAGCTCTTCTTATGGCAGCTCTCCAGGATTCATACCTGTTTCCTTTTGCTTCCACTCCTAAAGATGGTAATGTCAAAGACAGCAAGATGGAGCCTTTTCATAGTAGCGGTGGTGGTGGTAAGCCTCAATTCCTTGATTTTCAAGACTATTTATACATTCAGTTGTCAAGTCAAGGTCAAGAAGTACTTATTAAGCACCTGATGTGTACCAGTTACTGTGCTAAGTTCTGGGGATACAAAGAGACAAAAAAAAGCTCCTGTTCTCAAAGAGCTCACAATCTAATGAAGGAGACAGCGTGTAGACATTAGACAAGATAAATTGGAGCTAATCTTAAAGAGGAGGCACCAGCAGTAAGAAGCTGGATGAGTCAGGTGATAGATCCCTGATGAAGGCAGACTAACTTTAACAACAAGAATATGTCTGCCTGCTGGTCCATGAGATGACTTGTGCTCAGGGGCACCATGGCTGCCACCCTTAAAACTGTTTAATGGCCTGGGGTTAGAAGAACCTGTGGAGGGAGAGATGTGCAGGGGGCTGGGGCTGATGGGATCATCTCACCATATGCATGATTGGGTGTTGCTTGAAGACTCCAGAATGTCTTTTGAAAAAATAATGCTCTGCTGTCAGCTCAGTGCTGCTTCAGTCCCAGGAGAACCTATCCCTGTCTGACCCCACAATGTGTTGATGCCTGTCCTATTTTATATCTTCTTTACGAGGGCATTAGCAAGTGGATTTTTTCCTTCTTCATCCTAATTATCATGATCTCCAATTCTCTATCTCCCCTCAGTCCCAGAAATGCACATCAGTTAAAAAAAAAAGCAACAATGGAAACACGGTATACCTTTCATCTTTCATCATTCATTTTATGCTTCTGATGGTGTTGAGAGTGATGAGAGGCTTACCTTTATTCTACACTCAGCCTTAGATATCAGATGCAACCCAGAGTTGTCTCTCTGAGCCAGCTTTTCATGCATTATTTCTTAGATTGGAGTGGAGCCAGTTAATAGAGTCTGGATGGATAAGAGAACAGAAGACTTTCCTTGAACTGTT